TTAATCAAAATGAGGCTAATTTGCATATGGGTAGGGTAACAGCCCCCACCTTCCTTTGTAAAAAAAGACTTGGCATCATGCCAGGAGACAGTCAGAGAATAGGGTCTCAGTGTGAGAATACCGCGTGTACATATGTGTGCATGTGAGTATTAATTTGAAGAGGGTGGGGGAGTAGAGGTAAAACGCGACAGGCAGATGAGGTAGAATGGAAATCAAAATTACGCAAGCGAACAAATTAATGCTAGTAATTTAGATAGACTAACAAACAATGTGGGCATTTGCTAAATTGGCTCAAGGGTATTGCAAACAGAGCAATGCGGGAGCTGTCTCAACAGAAAACTCAAAATCACCGAATTGTATCTGGTTAATTACTAAAATTAGCAAGTATAGCGAAACACACACATTTAATATTTAAAAGTGGTTAATATACGGCAATTCATTATCAGCAATTACCTTGCTTTTCTTGATCTGAACAGATGTGCTAGCGTTGCGGCGATTAGCTGATCTTTAGAAGGATGACAGGCTTTTGTTTTGGAGCTTGTTGACTTTCATAGATGAGGATCAGAGAAAAAGGAGAGAGGATGACGACTTCTTATGGGGAGACTAAGGACTTGAGTTAGATGACTGTCTGCCACCAGTGTGTATACACTCACACATGCATGCACACAAAAATGATTCGCAAGCTATCTAGCTACCTAAATGGAGACTTCTACTATTGCCAAATAAAGCAATTTTAAAGCTAAAATTAGGTTTATCATATATTGAAAAATATGTAACAATGTATTTACTTATATATCGCATGTAATGTTATTCAGTAATATCCATCACAATATATAGATGTGCATGTGATAAAATATGGTACTGTGTTTATACATATATAAACACTTTTTTTGTTAGATTTATTTTTGCGAAGTGGGAGAGAGAGGTGGGCGGGATCGGGATCCGAACTCGGGACGGCTATAGTGCAATGGTGATGTATGTTAGCGTGCTGCCCAAAAGGCTATCGCTGCCTACATTCAGATTTTAAGAGTACAATATATGTTATCATATATGATATCAGTGTATTTTTTATATTCATATATATTACATAAATCACTAAATCGACTGTTATATAATGTTGCCCTGTTTCATATATATTACATAAATCACTAAATCGACTGTTATATAATGTTGCCCTGACTTTAACAAGACATCCAACTGTCCAAAAAAACAAAGCTTTTAATATTTGTTTTCAGTAAACATGTTTTTATATACCATCATTTTATTATATGAAATGTCTAACTATGCAAACAATAAAGTTTTTAATAATATATGTTCAGCTTTCTCAAGAGTTAACTCTTCAAAGGAATCAGGGGTACGTTGCCCTCCTACTGCTGTATGCATAGGCGGAAATCTATCTATCAGATATACCTATCTGAGGGTGGTCCCCCCTAAAAATATGATTATGAAAAATATGATTAAAAACCACGCTGTGCATTGTAAATAACATTGTTTTATACTTTAAATAATTGTGTAAGTAGTAAAGCAACACAAACGGGGAAAAAATGCGTTTTAAGTTTAGAAACATTTTGAGTCTCCCCCTCCCTTGCCTCGCAGTGCTTTGGTCCATATGCCTGCTTTCCTCTTTTACATCACCTACCCTACACACACACAAGTCCGGTGAGAGAGAACAAAGCCAATAGTTGTGGAACTCCAGTAAGTAAGGCTGTCAAGGCTATTTTATTCACTTAAACATCGGATGAAGGGATTATTTTCTTTTTAATACAGATGATGCCAGTGTATTTTTCGATGAGTCCGATATGTTAGCAATAATAACGTTACCTGCTTGAGGGAAAGGGTTGCCAGGTTTTCATAACAAAACCTGCCCAATTGCTACTCAAAACTAGCCCAAACTATCCGTGTTTCAAAGGGGGTCCCCCAGTAAAAATCACATTCCGGGGGCTAAAATACACATTATTGGGGTCGCTTCAACCTTCAAACATGAAAAACAACCCACGGCAACAGTGATAAAGTAGCCCAATTCGACAGGAAAACCACGGACTTGGCAACACTGTGACGGATAGTAATGTCTACAACGGACACAAGCGCTGTCACGGCATGACCACAACAGCTTTAAGTTGTCTAATTTGGCACGGTCTCCCTGCTGCACTAATAGTCACCCCCAGAGCAATGGGGCAAATTGAAAGATACAAGAAATCAGTCGCTTCCTTTATACTTTTTCTGTTATCACCACCAAAACCAGTGGAGTCACTTCTTGTCCTGGGCTGAGTATGCATAAAACTCACTCCGACAACCCTCTACAAAGCTCTCCCCCTTTCGGTGCTTTCCAGCTACCAACCACTTCTGTTCAAACCATTGGATGTCTCATTTGTTGACCACTGGTTCAGAGAAAGGGAGAGGGTTTCGGCCTTAGCACATCAACATCTGCAGCGGGCTGTGCATCACCAGAAGAGCCACGTTGATGGTGGAGATCCACCACTCCCAATTACCAATCCAGGCAGAAAGTGTGGCTCTCCATGATGAAGGACATCCAACTACACCTCCCCTGCAAGAACCTAAGTCCGTTAAATTGGTCCCTTCACCAAGACTTTCCAAAACGTACCTTCTCCATTCCTTGTCTACAACAATCTCATTCAAAAGTTCCAGTGATCTCCTCCCTGCTTACCTCTATTTATTAACCTGTAATAGGCTACTCACTGCCACTGGCCTGCACCCATATCTTAATTACAGCCAGATTATCAGCTGTGTTGTCTACCAATCTTTCCTACCTGCTATATTTTAATGCTCTTCATCTAGACATCAGTATATGCTGCATTGATATCTACTCGCCTGATATACCTCACCTGCTATGTTGTCTTCATTCAACCCTGCTGTAAATAAACACTGCTTTGAGTTCAAACTTACTGTCTTGTATCCAAATGAAAGGAAAATTTATCTACATTTATATTTATATTTCTATACTCAATATTCTATACTCAAGAACTATACTCAAGATTTATAGAGACCTTTATATACAATATAAATATCAAATATGCAATCTCAAAAGTATTGCCAGCCACTACTGAAATAAAATTTTAATGACTTATTTTCCACTTTCTTGTAACTTACTGAATACACATGCCCAAGGATACAAATTACTTCATTTACTATCAATTTCTCTCTCACGCTGCTGGAGGCTCCTGGTGAAATGACATTTCGATTATTTCCATAGCTGGATAAATAAAGTGCTGAATAAATGTTTCCATTTTTCATTAGGCTTCTGTACAGAATATGGTCTGTTTCATCTCTTTGTTTTAAAGATTATATTTTCACTATAGTATTTTTATATTGAGTTTAGCATAATTTCCTCATGATCATTACATCAGAGACCTTACAAGGAACATATTACCTTCTGATTCATAAACTTTTATCAACATGTGATGATATGCAGAACAAATCACAAGCCCAGCAGTCTCTTAATGTAGCTATAATCTAGCTATAATGTGTAATGTATTTTCTCCTACAACCCGAAGTGCCTGAAAATAAATAATTGTTAAGACTAGGAAATAATCAGATACAAAATTAGACGACAATAAAAAATAGCAATCTTTATTTTTTCCAAATCTACAATAATAAGATAAATCTTACCTTATACTACAACAAAATACAATGGGTGTACAATATTCATAAAATAATCTGTTTTAATCATATTTCTGGCCATTCGGGACATGACATTGCTCAATATGGGTTGAATAGAACATTATAAGTCTATGAGATTAGGATGTGGTTTCCCTTTATTATGGCTGCAAAATAACTTGATTGACACCAAGAATTTTCTGACAGCCAGGACTGAGACAACCATGTCATTTTTTTCAATTGTTATGTAAATCATTAGGCAGCACTGGGTGGGATTGTGGAACCTGAGACTAGAATCAAAACTGTCCCATTTTTAAGCAGTATGCATAATCTTTTGGTAAAAAAACAACAACTGTACATAAGAAAAATAAGTGACAGGTCATCTGCAAATAGGCTAAGATATAAATGGCATCCACATGGTCAGAACTTTTCCTTTAAATAGACAAATGGTTAGCATATGTCTCATATATTAAAAATGGCTAGCATATATCAACTTCTCCCATATTGTTCAAATATTAGCCCAGAAAATATTTTTACAATTTTGGACACTTTAGTCACACATAAAAATGTATGAACTGTCAAATCCAAAACATTTAACTAAATTGCAATGGCAAAACTTCACATTTCTTACCTATTTTTGTAATTACTTTTAAATAACACATCTCAAGGTCAGATTTAGTGAATGTATAAAATCTGCTCCCCTCTTGTTCACATGTATATTAGTTCATCACAATAACATGCTCCATTAACATTTTATAAGTGTTCTAACACTTTATTTGAGGAAAAAAAAAACTTTATAAATTAGTGTGCTTGAGATGCCATGTGTTTTGATATTTTGCTACTGGATATAATGCAAAGACATCCATGCATTTTTAAGTGTGGCTTAAGTGTCCAAAAACGTTTGGGGGAGTCAACTGCATGATTTTCCACTGACAACATGAAATACATCTATCAACAAATCATGGTCACATGTATATTATAGAATATAGAGAGAGAACAGAATGGCTCAGGACTTGCTTTAGTAAATACTGACAGTTGCAAAAGAAAAAAAAAAAAGGTTAAGTACAGGTGCTTTGGGTCACCGTGGTGCTATTCTGGAAATCTAAACATTTGACCTACAAAGGCCACACTATAACATTTGGGTAACATGATGCTGCATATAAATACATAACACTTTACAAATAAAAAACAAAAAGAACAATTAATGTCAAGGCCTTTACAATTAAAAAGCACAACAATAATTACTATGACAAAATAAATGAACAATGCTTGAAAAAAAGCAAACATGGCATGGCAACAAGTACATGAGAATTTTACAGATTGGTAAAGATACCACACAGGGCAAAGTCACTACAAAAAGGGGGATACTAAAATGCATTATGGTTATACTCAACTAAAATGTTACTCTTACAACGCTTTAATCAACATCAAAACTCTTGCCTAAAAGTGTGTGACCACACAGTCAGAAGTCCTGTAATATACTATGGATCCTTTTCCACTTGTCTTTGTTTCATTATATTTTTAAATAGTGAAAAACATGATTTATTTGGATTTTTATGCTTTAGAGCCCTTCATTTTTATACCCAATAGCCATAAAGTAGGATTTTATTCAAGTTGCAATTTAATCACTTATTTTTTAATGATTAAGTGAGAGAGCTTTAAGCATATGGTATGTTGAACTTCTGACAGATGTCATTTTGCAGAGCTAGTAACACATCTTTAATGAAACTCTCATTACAGAACATAACATTTTGCTACACGCTTAAAGTTTCATTATCCACAGATCGGAAATATTTTTTTGGTGTTAAAAAACAATAGTCAACAGACAGCCAGTCAGAATAAACCGAGGAAGAGACTATTGAAAATTGAGGGATTGAAGAAAAAAAAGAGAGATGGACGGACTGATTGATGGATGGGTGGATGGTCAGACAGACATCTACATCTCATGGGAGAGGACTTCATGCTCAGGTACACTATTAGCGTGGATTGCTGTCTGCCCGTTTGGTTGCGTGTTATTCTCATTAAGTCTGCGTACGCGGTACATCTCGTAATGGATGCTGCTTGTGATATCTTTGATGTTCTGCATATGAGTTCTAGAACACAGATAGACCGAGAACACTTATATTAAAATATATTTATTAACAAATGAACTGTAGTTTTTTTATACAAACACTCTATAAAATGTAAATGGTGAATCATTGAATACCTGATGAGCAGGTCCCGCAAGTAGGCAAACTCGCAGTGTGCGGTGTTCTCAACTGCGAAAATAATAAAAAAGATGATGATGGGGTTTTAGAGAGTAGCTTTGTCATAAAAAAAATGATGGTATAAACAGTCTGTCACTGTCTGTTTCTATATTTGCTATTGTGCTTGAGATGTAGTAGCACCTTATTGCCACTAGATGGCAGTACTGTATCAGACAACACAGAGTATTTGAGCCGCAAAATGCTTCTTAAAGTAACATCACATTTAAAATAGGCCACTGTGAGCGTGAGCAATTGCATTAATAAAAGGAAATGAAATCTAATTTGAACTTGTTCCATTTGAGTGTGGTAAATTATCACAGCCAAACGAATCAAACTATTTTTTTTTTTTTTTATTGATTAGTGGAAGTTAAACACTAACATGTAAGGGTGAAAATTAGTACTTCTATTGTTAATCTGTCAACACTCTTCACAGATTAATGCTATTAGACTGGTTCTACCTATAACCAATAAACTTCTACCACCCTCCTGTCCATGCAAGGTTGAGTTTTCTTATTAATTTTGGCCACAGACTTTCTATGAGGAGGAGTAGTTTGCATGGTACATTGATTTATTTCCTTATGCTATCTATTCCTGTTGGGTGAATCAGGAATAGGAATTTGATTTGCTCTTGGCAACAAGAATGGAAACCAGGTCCCATACTGTAGACACAAACACCAGATAGATATGTGAATTTGTGTATTAGGGCTTTACGTTTAGCAATTACCTTAATTATACAGCAATTACATTTAATATATTTTGCAATTAACGTTTTTCATTTAGTTCCATCCTGTTCCTCTCACATCATGCCTCAAGACAAACAAATGTCAAGGTTGAATCTGCTATAAAATAAACAGTTTTCAAAATTTGAAAATAATTGATATTTCCTAAAGTGCATTAATTACATATTTCATTTTCTAATGCTCTAAAATAATGTTATCAAATTTTAAATATCAAAGAACAGAATTAAATACTTGTTTCTATTTTTTTTTTTTTAAGTGTTAACAACATTAAAAACATAACGGCATTAAACAGTTAAACGCTCCATAATGTACTGTAGAGTAGAGACCTGCACTCCCGCGGGAGTACCGCGGGACCCAACGCAACAGGGTGCGGCGCGGGACAACTCTTGATGGGCGAGTGCGGGTGCGGGCGGGAAGAGACTCGTGTGTGTGTGCGGGATGCGGGAGAGTAAAATGATTAGCGGGACTCCCGCAAAATAGAAATGATCTAAACATAAAATGCCTAAAACATATAAATTGTTATTTATCTGTTGCACAAAAGCAAAAAGAACAACTAATATTAACATTAAAATGATTGACATGCGCAAGCTAGGCATAGTTTCTATTTATAACACGTGTTTAAAGGATTGCGCAATGTAGCCAATCACAGACTCAGCTGTTGATTTCTGGAACGCAATGGCCAATCAGAGGTGATTAAGTTAGAATCTACTCACCGCAGTGCTGAAATTGCGTGCTCACGAATCCTCTCATTTTAACACACGAAGTGTAGACACTGTGAAAGATTCATTGTGCATATATTTATTGTGTTATAACAGAGCTTTAGGAGATCGTGATTAACTGAGATGTCAGCTTTTAGTGATAATAAAGGAAGCGCGCTGCTCGCATTCTGCCATGCCAAACCATGCACGCAGCAGCCCATGCTTGCTTTTCTGTTAAAAATAACAGTGGTTTGTGATTGTGATTGTTGATGCTTAGCCTAAATAACACATATTTTATCGGGAGCGTTTATGCTGGGATGTTGTGGAGCTTAGGAAATGTTACAGAACCATGTCATGTAAATTTCTTCGATGTACTGAAAAAAAATCTATATAGATTACTTTTATGCGGGCGGGAGCGGGACAAAACATGAATGTCGCGGGCGGGAGCAGGGACCAGATAAGATATATTTCTGCCGGACTGAAAAATCCGTCCCGTGCAGGTCTATACTGTAGAGTCCATCAAAGTTATGTGATGTTGCTCTTTTAAAAGTTTAGTTTAGCTGTTTAAATCTTGAAAATCTGTTTAAATACAGTAAAACAATCAAAGCAATGTAGGATGATGTGGACACAAGTACATAAAATTCCTTACACACAACCAAATGTTTTTAAATGAAGAAAAAAAGCACAGGACACCAATCCAACAACAAAGCTCACTGCCAGAGAAGATGTGCAGATGTGATTTTGGGCAAGAAAAAGTAAACTTGAAGGAAAGTGTTGTGAGAGAAGCTGAATGTTTGTGTGTGCACTACCTTCTACTGTCCCCCATCTTGTTTTCCTGCCCAGAAGTCTTTTTCCGTTGACCTGATATTCTTGATCACTTCCCACCACAGCAAATGGGATCATCTCCTAAAACAGAGATCACACGAAAACCTTCAATATACAAAAGCAACACTTGGAATTACAATATACAGTAAGGCAGAAAAAGAAGACACAAAAGCTCACTTCATGTACATGAACAATCTCTTTTTAACGAATACCACAGTATCAGTGATTGAGTTATAGAGATAAAAAGTGACAAGTGGACATACCCTGATCTTCTCATTAACAATTCTGTCCTCTGCATCCTCATCAAACTCTTTTTGAGGATAGACGTCAATTTCATTGGCTCGCAAGTCCGCTCTTATCTGCACAAACACACACACCAGAAAGAATCCATGAAACAGTGTTTAGTTCCTGGTTCATCTTTGGAGAATATGCGTGTGCATAGAGTGTGCATCCACAGAACATTAGGTCGTTTAAAAAAAAAAAAAAGTTCTTACTAAACTTAATGACTGACTTTCTTTTATCAAACACAGAATAAATATTAAAGAATGTACTGGTTGCCCTTTTCCATGCAATTAATGGAGACTGGAGCTTTCAAGCCTAAAAACGATGGAAAAGCATCATAAAAATTGTTCATTCAACTCTATATATTTCAAATCATCAGAAGCTATACAGTAACTTTGTGTTATGTACAGACGAAAATGTCACAGTGAGCTTGATAATGAATTAGTCCTATTTGTAAATGAACCATTTAGACTTTTTTCCATAAATGAATGTGAGTGGCAGTTTGTTTGTTTTTTAGTCATTTTGTCAGTCATAAGTTTGGAACTAGAAGGATGACATAATTTATTTCATTTTTGGGTAAACTTTTCCTTTAATGGCATATTCTGCACTGTAAGGGTCACCATGCTTTTCAGATGTCAGATTGAATAATCGTAACACGACTTCAGACCTCTGGCAGTGAAGATTTAAACTGGCCATTGGGAGCATAATGAAAAGAATACAGTGAGAGAGTTTTTGCCAGCAGGATGCTTTAATGAATGACGACGAATCAAAACTACACCCTTCACTGAATCCACTCTGAGTCAGTGTTTGTTTTCATTCTCTGCTTCCATGTGGGTGATGTCATTAAACATTAAAGCAAATGAACCAGACAAATTCAGCAACCCTACATCAATGTTCACGAGGTTGAAAATAGTGTCACCCTACTCTCCTGTCACGTCAAAGACCTTGTGGGGTGGAGGAAAAGGATCTAAGGATTGTGCGCTGACCACACAGCCAAACATAACAGTTATGTACAAGCCCGAAAGGCTTCTAGAGCCTGGGGTTTGTTCTGTTTGGCAGGTGAAGCAAATGTTAGGAGGAAACAGTAGCTTGGACACCCACTGAGTTTCCTCTGGCAGCTTTTAGACAGGCAAAATCAACAGACGTTTTGCGAGGTGAAGTATGAGAAGGATAAAGTTGCCTTCACCCACTACAAGAGCACAATGCAAACATGTTCATTGAATAAAAACATGAAGTAATAATACAAATAATACATGCAGCTGAATCTCTTCAATCACTCTTTAATTACTTCTATGATAATGAACATAAAAAGAGCTTGATATGTGCAGTCTTTATGATCTCTTCTTACTGCTGGACAGCCTGTTATTGCTGTACATTAAAGGGATAAGTCATCGGTTCACATGTTTGTGCTGCTTTTTTATGGCAAACCTCCATGTACCAACTCCAGCTGCCCACTGCTGGATCTATCCTGTGAACTGCCTCTACCAGCCTGTGAAGTACTGCCAAGTTACAACTTAAGTTGAGGTCAAATAAAACACAAAGTGCCTCACCGGCCCGTGAACCCAAAAAAGATTCAACATAAAATTACTCAACCAGATCCAAGACTTTCCCTGCATAATTAAGAATGTCCAAGCAGGATTAAAGATATTTCCCATATTGATTCTACAAATTATGGGTGGTTATAGAAATTACTTTCAAATGTAATGAAGCACAGCTCACATAGAAGTCACTTTCAAGCCAAGCAGTTTTCTGTTGGTCAACACAGCGAATCCGCATAACCAATAAGGTTGTGCGATGTCTACCAAATTGGCATCGGACGATGTCTACAGTGAAACATTGTGATGGACGATGACATCGGGGGGCGGGGTTAGGGGGTGTGCCCGAAGCGTGAATCCGTTTGCAGAAAGGCACGGAAAACAAATAACGCGTTCTACGGAGCCACTAAAGGTACATGGTTAGCCGCTTGCTAGCGGTAGACTGTTACATTACAGTACATGAAAGTTCACTTTCACAGAGTAAGGAGAGATGACTGATAGGACAATGGCGAATGATTTGCAGATACTGAGCACCACTGAAAAATATCTAATCTTGTAAAATGTGTGGTAGGTGTAGCAATCCAATTGTAGCTATTTTTTTTTATCAGATCTTGCTTTTCCTAGGAATTGAACCTATGATCTTGTCATTGCTAGTGCCATAGTGCCTAGGGCGGGGGAGATCACGATGCCGGCTCAACATCGTGATGTCTGTCAGCCATAGGCCCAACCCTAATGACCAACTTCTGTTTCAACTTCAGTTTAGTCTGCTACTGTTTCAGAAGTTTAAGAAATGCCATGAGAAATGCCCATAAAGGAACAGTTTTGCACCAATTCACACCATCAGAAAGGCGATTCCCACAGATATTTACACAGACATTGTGTGATGGCAGTTTGTATTGAGGTTAAATACTTGAAAAAATAAATCATTGTTCAACTGGTGTAGCCTCTGGATGAGTGAGGCAAACTATCTTCAAATGAATGGAAAACATGCCAAATGCTCTCAAATAAATTCTTTTTGTCGTTCTATTATGACCTTAGGTGACTGATACAGACAAGATGAAAAATAATTTTACAAGGTGAAGAATCAAAAGATCTAATAAAAACTCTCATCATATGGTTGGAAGAGATTGCTTACAGTACCTTCTGTTTGAAGAAATCTCTCTCCTCCAGGGTGAGTGTGTCTGCCTTGGCGATAACAGGAACGATGTTCACCACTTTACTTAGGTGTCTCATAAACTCAATGTCAATTGGCCGCAGACTAAAACAGAGAAGACAGCAATGCAGTGAGACCCAAAATGGATGAATTAAAAACCAAGTAAAGTGTTAAATAGAATGGTCTCTATTCAATAACATTTAAAACAACACAGTGTAGCAGTTGCTTCAAACTTAAGCATCACACTCTAATATTGTAGGTGCAGCACAAATAATCAAGGCATCGAATGATTGACCAATATGGAGAATTTATTACAGAAGGTAAAAGGGTTACAGAAATGGAACAAATATACATGTCATTATTTATTCACCCTAATATCATTCTTATTTTCTTATGTGGATCTCAAAAGCAGATTATAGCAGAAAGTATAAAAAAGGAAAAAAATAATAAAAAAAAACCAAAATGTTGTGGTCTGTAGCAGAAAGAAAATCATAGTTTGGAACAACATGGGGTAAGAAAATATAACTAAATGCACTGTACATTTTTGGGTGAACTATGCCCTTAAGGATATGTTGAACTTTCTTCAGTGCTTGTGACTTTGCATTACTTATACTAGAAAACACAACCAGCCGGCATGTGTATTTAAGTCTGCTTTGTGGAGTGTTTATTTGGAGTGTGTACTGCATCCACAACCACAAGGCACAAACAAGTAGCACTGACATCTTTAATGGCCAGATATCCGGTTCACTCAACTCACATAACACACTGCATTTTGCCTTTTTTAACAAACTAGAATGAACATGCACAGAGCCTCTTAGTCCCCAGGACAAAAAGATGTCACAATCTGGGCTTACAAAACTATCACATGGTGAGGACTGCAGAGCTACAGGGCTTTAAATATTTTGCTGAGTGCTATAACACGCAAAATATACACGTGCATAAACAAAAAGCCCTGTGAGGAATTACGTGCATCGATGATTACATGCCTATTTGAATATATAACCATTATATAACCATACAGTGACAAAATATAGTGCATTAGTAAGTCCACAAAACTGTAACACATTTGTGGTTTTGTATATGCTTAAGCACATACAGTACATACAGAAATGTGTCTAGGGTGCAATATTTGAATTAGAAGCTGCATCTGTGTGGCATACAGAAGTGAATAAACTCAAATTCTTGAATTTAAATTGAGATAGTAAACAATGTATTTACAGAACTGTACATTGTTTTACATATAATATATTACATGTACAGTGGGGAAAATATTTATTTGCTCCCCTGCTGATTTTGTAAGTTTGCCCACTTACAAAGAAATGACGGGTCTGTAATATATAATGTTTTTGTATTATATATGATGACTTCAGATGAAAAAACCTCTAAGTTCATCTGATTTTTTTCTTTCTTTCAAATAAGCATTTTTATCAGGTTCCTATGTGTTGGTTGAGTAATTTAACTTTCACAAAAAAAGAAAAAAGAAAAAAAAAAAGGTTATTAGCTCGTTAATTAATGCCTTATTTTCAAAAATTCCCAATGTTATTTTCATAGGAGCCTCATAGAAAATATTAATTTAAAAGAAAATCTCAGAGGGACTTAGAGGTTTTTGCCTCTTAGGTCTTCATGTGATAAATTTATTTGATAACTTATAAAGTTATAAAGATTTCATAAGATTTTTTTTTTCCATTTTATTTTAATTTTAATCAAAGATTTTATTTTTCAGTTTGAATTATCATTAAAGAACATGCTATGAAACACACTGCATATGGGCTATTTACAGAAACATTTGTTGGTATTAATTACAAATCTTTGGTAGTTCAGAATAAAGGTAATTTTTTTTTTATTATTATTACATTTAATAAATTAACTTCTATTTATAGATCATTGTGAACAGTATTTCCCATAAGAAAGTCATCTGTTTAACCATTTTGTTTAACCAACAAAATGAGCTGAAGTAAAATCATCTTCCTGACATTCTAATTCATATTTAATGCCCAATGGGTTGTAGACAGTACCCTATTTCACTTAGGGCGGTCATTTTCCTTGTGTAATTTACTTCAGTTTATTTACTCATGTGTATTTGAAAGGAAACTTAATACATCATCAGATGCACATAACTTGCACAAGCCCTGGCATGGGAAAAGCCAATTCGATATTTTAATCACCTACCCCCATCTGTGGGTCTCAAATTTCTTTCATAGAGGAAGGAGTCACCATTTGTGGTGGACACTTCTTGTTTTACTTCCTGTTTCCCACAAAACCACATGGAGATGGCTAGCCACCAGAGTGGGACATCCACTAATGAGATTATAAAAGTTTCCACAAGGTCTCAAAGGGTCTGTGTGAAATGTTCAAGAATATACCTCATGGCAAATTTGCAGCCAGTGCTGACATCTGAATCTGTGCTTTGATCAACAACTAAAGGGTTTACAATTCGTTTCTACTTTTCTGAAAACATGATGATTTAAAAGTAAAGAGCCAAATGCTGACAGTGGTATTGTGGTCTTGAAACTTAAATAAAAACATCTAATTTTACATGCTAGACCATCCCACTGCTGATATATTCAGACTGCATTTTTCAAAGCATAGAACTTCCTCACTGTGGAATTATGGCACAGCAACCAACTGAAAAAAAAAATGCACAGCTATATGTACATTAACATTCTGCAAATGAAATATGAAATATGACAGCTATGTCCATGAACACTGACTGGCTGATGGCACCACATGAACAAACAATTTAAAGTTTTGTGTTTGGCTAAAACCCTTCCGCTTACCATCACCAGTGGGCCCAATGCCCCTTTGGCTCCACCCATATTTCCCCCTATGCATTTCCCCTATACTCTTGAGGTGAATGGGGCTGTTTCCAAGACAAAATTTCAAACACAGGAACTACAGTCTGTGTGTACTCATGTTATGTGACATGTGGCAAGACAAGCAGCTGTTCAGATATCTTACAAGCATGCAGCAGCTGTGAGACAGTGTCTAATAACAGTGTGCACACACACCAACACACACTTGTGGAAGGAAATACCCTCTTTAAAAAACGTAACCCTGCCCCCCAACCTTCCTCTCCCCTGTGCAGACACTACACACATACACATATATACCTAGAAAATGAGAACGCAAACGAACCCACTCACAGGACCACACAATGTAATTTCCCCCTGGCCCCATCACACTCACACACAAACACTGGTTTGCATGACTCCCATTTATGCAAGTGAGTTAGAAAACTATAGCAGACAAATAGAGAGGGATAAAGGATATATATGACCCTATTTACACCTGATATTAAGATGATTTTTTTTGTTACAAGAGGTGCGTTTATGCTTGGTAGTAATGTGTCTCATGTGACCACTTCTGATCGGTTTGTGAGGAAAGGGTCTCCAATTTCATTACTAAATACATCAATTTTGTTTTGTTTATTTATTAAATTTTTTTCTTAAAAATGTGTGCACCATTTTTCCTAAACACACTTCTTTTATGTGCAAACATGTTTGCCAAGCAGAATTTACAAGTATTTTGCTCAAGTTCCTGTATTTACTAAATCTTCCAAATGCAAAAAAAAAAAAAACCTGACCAAACCGCACATTAGTGCAAAACTTGCATTGGTGGATTGACAGCTGAGTAGGTTGCTAATTACTGTTTACCAGGATGCATTAAAATGGGTTATGTTATACTAATAATGTGGTCCAATGTAGTTTCCAAGATGGTGGTCCAAAACGTTTTGTACCACTTTTACTTGTATTGGATCATCCAAAGCAGATCATAATAAAAAGTGTAAATAGGGCCTACACTGTAGGCTAAAAAAACTTTAGGTTCAGGAATTTCTGAGGACTTTTCCTAAAACATAATATAGTAAGTTTTATAAATGATGGTTTATTTGAGGATCCAAGTTTAATGAGCTTGCATTTTACGTTAATCTGAGCATTAATATTGCATAATAGTGATCAATGTTCCCGAATATTTCAGTGGTTGCGGACGAAATAGCTCAAATCGAGAGCAAACGCAATGATGTGAAATAAAACGTCCTCGTGTAATTTGAATCAGTGAGTTGTCGACTCGAGAACAACTGCAATCGGATAATTCCAATTCGTGAATTAATCGTTTGGTGCGATTTGCAAACCGATTTAATGGGTTCATTGAAAATAATCAGTTCATTCATGAATCAGACACCGCTTTTGCGTCGCGGAGCACGTGATACGCAAACAGTTTGCTGAAGACAAGCAGACTAAGGACATGGATTACTGGAACCATGTCCTGTGGTCTGATGAGACCAAGATAAACTTATTTGGTTCAGATGGTGTCAAGCGTGTGTGGCGGCAACCAGGTGAGGAGTACAAAGACAAGTGTGTCTTGCCTACAGTCAAGCATGGTGGTGGGAGTGTCATGGTCTGGGGCTGCATGAAGTAGGGGAGCTACAGTTCATTGAGGGAACCATGAATGCCAACATGTACTGTGACATACTGAAGCAGAGCATGATCCCCTCCCTTCGGAGACTGGGCCACAGGGCAGTATTCCAACATGATAACGACCCCAAACACACATGAGGGTAAAGGTGATGAATTGGCCAAGCATGTCTCCACACCTAAACCCTATTGAGCATCTGTGGAGCATCCTCAAACGGAAGGTGGAGGAGCGCAAGGTCTCTAACATCCACCAGCTCCGTGATGTCGTCATGGAGGAGTGGAAGAGGACTCCAGTGGCAACCTGTGAAGCTCTGGTGAACTCCATGCCTAAGAGGGTTAAGGCAGTGCTGGAAAATAATGGTGGCCACACAAAATATTGACACTTTGGGCCCAATTTGGACATTTTCACTTAGGGGTGTACTCACTTTTGTGGCCAGCAGTTTAGACATTAATGGCTGTGTGTTGAGTTATTTTGAGGGGACAGCAAATTTACACTGTTATACAAGCTGTACACTCACTACTTTACATTGTAGCAAAGTGTCATTTCTTCAGTGTTGTCACATAAAATCACACAAAAATGTACTTAAGTACAGTAACGATGTAAAACTACTTCGTTACTGTCCACCAGTGTGACACTGAGAATTCAGCTTTGCTTTACATTAATAAATTCAATTTTAAAGTATATTAAAATAAAAACTTTTATTTTAAATTGCAATAATATTTCACAATATTATTTTGTGAAATAATATTCAGTATTTTTTATCAAATAGATATATAGCTTCGATGAGCCTAAGAAACTTATTTAAAAAATTTACTGATCCCAAACTTTTGAACGGCAGTGTATTATACTGTAAAAATATTTTCTCAGGAAACCTAAAATGTACATTATTTAGTTACATCAAGGGTCAAATCAAATATAAATAGCACATTAAAGTTAAAAGTTACACACTTTTTTGTGTACGCGCTGTACAGGTCTGGTATAAAGAATGTTTTTGCTCAGGTGGCCAAAATGTCCGCCCAATAGAGAAAAGTTTTGCTTTACTGTTTGCTTTAAATTAGAGGGAACATTGATAGTGATGTACTGTAGAACTTCCAGAGTTTGTCTAACTTTCAGTTTGTTGAGAAAACTGAAAGGGTTATATAGTTACTTCTATAGACCAAAAAATTTTTATATGCTCATTGAAATGGAAGATACTTCACAGAAGAGAAGACTAATCACTATAATGGTGACATTATGAAACATAATGCAACTTTTAGATATAATCAAAACACAACACATAGCAAAAACATAAATTAATTCTGAATAATAATTGTAACTGAAAATAGAAAGCATATGTAAAGCTTCAACAACAAGCTTGACGATTCTTCAGCCCGACTTCACAACTGAGTGCATTGAGCAGCTTACAGTATGGATTCACCCAAAGATATATTAAAGGGGTCATATGATGCGATTTCAAGTTTTCCTTTCTCTTTGGAGTGTTACAAGCTGTTCGTGAAAAGATAAGATCCCTAAAGTTGCAAAGACTAAAGTCTCAAACCCAAAGAGATATTCTTTAAAAAAAGTTGACTCGTCCACGCCCTCCTAAAATGCCAACGCAATGCTTAAAAAGACAGTATAAGTCATTATAATCAGTAAATATGTATGTCCCCACTGGATGCTACAAATAACTAATTTGTCATGGGTTTTATTGGTTTTGTCTCGTCACGCCGGGACACGGCATGCCATCACAGTATGGTAAGGGGCGTAACATTTCCGTCACACGCTTGAGGTATTTGGCCAATCACAACGCACTGGATAGCTGGCCAATCAGATAGTTGGCCAATCAGAGCACACCTCGCTTTTCAGACCGATAAGCTTTGTAAAAATTTACGCGTTTCAGAACGGCGGGGCATAGAGGAGAAACAATAATGTACAGTATGTGGAAAATAATGTGTTTTTTTAACCTTAAACCGCATAAACACATTTCATTACACCAAATACACAAAATAATGTTATTTTTAGTAACGTCATATGACCCCTTTAAATTATCATATCAACAAGGCCCTACTATCTAAGCAAACATAATGTAACAATAACAAAAACCTATGTTTGGTATTTGTTTGAGTTTAAATGTAATGTGTTTGTGTGCGTGTGTGTGTGTGTGTGTGTGTGTGTCTCACCAGTGTCCAGTAGGAGGAATAAAATATATGCAGCAGTGGACTCGTGAGTCTGGAATCCTCTTCTTCCTTTCGATGTTGATCTCTTCCTGTAAATACTGTTCGTACTGTGCATTAATGAACTTCATGATGGGCTGCCAGCTACAAACAGATCAGACAGATGGGGAGACACCAGGAAACGCATGAGATCTAACAAGACTAGAGGTCGACCGATAGTGGATTTTGCCAATACCGATAGCTAGGATGGACCACACTGGCCGATACCGATTAATTAACCGATAGTTTTTAAAATGGATACTGAACAAAAACTAAAATAGTGCTTTATTAAAAAAACAGTACTGAACCATACTACTACAACTACTACTAGTATTCTTGAACACTTGATGATTATCTAATCAAAATAAAAGCGCAGAGCTGAGTCTAGGGGAACTCACCGGTATTACACACACTCCGGCCGCAGCGGTCTAAAACAGTTTATTTAATCACCAAACGGACACAAGTTTACTTCAAGAATGAACAATGAGGCATAGATGAGTATAAAGTTTGGTGTTTAAAAAACGGAGCAAACGGAAAGAGAAAGTGCGATATATATTATAGCTCTATAAATGAAGCATACAGAATTTATTAGAGCCACAGAAAGACAAACATTTAGCTGAAAATGCACAATAAACAATTCATTATGTACATCAACAAAGATTCGGGACAAATGTAATTTAATGGAAAACTATGTGAATCGCACTCTGTGGCGCGGCAGGATTTTCTGTCGGCTGCATTTAAATCCGCGTCTGAAGTTTCCCCCTCTGTTCAGCGTGCAGTGTCATGTGTCTAAACAAATAGCACGTGCTGTCAGTGATTTCAACCACTAGAGTCCGCTCTCGCACTGTATAACGACAGTAGACCCTTCTCAGCCGCTCCAGCAACGGACGCAACCCGGAAAACTATCGGCATGGATTTTTGCCGATAACGATAGTTCCAGCAATCAACTATCGGTACCGATTAATCAGCAAAACCGATACATCAGTCGACCTCTAAACAAGACCACCAAGTAATCAAAGAATTAGTTGAATAACAATTAATAAAGTTGACACTGACCAGTTCTCATTGTTTATCTGGTCTCCGAAACCTGGAGTGTCAATGACAGTCAGCTTCATTCTCACTCCTTTCTCCTCGATATCTGTATAAAAGATGAGTTTGAATATACAAAGTGGATAACTAAATTTATGAGACAGTCAGAAGTGTTAAAATACGACTTATCCTTAAATGGATAAGCAGATGTTGGCTTCAATTTTAGTTCAGAAGGCCTTTGTACCATGACTGATGGACTTGATCTCAATTGTCTTGGGAATTCGGTCTTCCTCTGTTGTCATCAAAGATCTGCGACTCACTTTAGATTTAAAAAGTGTGTTCATCAATGTGGATTTACCCAGACCACTCTGACCTGTACAAAGAAAGAGAAAAATAAAAATAATGTTATTTTTAGCAACATCATATGACCCCTTTAAATTGGCACTGTGGATGTTGATTTAATAAGTTGATTTAGTGCAATTAAATTTTTCTTTTAAATTATAAGGACAAAATTACACAATTATCCCTAGAATACATGAACCAAAAAAACTACAAGAATGCATAAATGGGTCATATTGGTTTACTTCAAAAAGTATGTGTGCTGTTAATAAAATGAATAAAGGAATTAATGATATGTTTTACTGTTTTCTACATAAAATCATCCTTTATAAGGTACAGAACATTCTGTGAAACTGTAACCTTGATATCTTTAATATTGACTGAGTAAGACCATGTCAAAGACTGAAATCATAATGAAATGAATGGTTGAAATCAAACTTTGATGCTTGTTATCTCATAATTAGATTTTGAGACTTTAGCCTGGATTTCACAGAGAGGGTTACATATAGAAATTTTTTAATATATCAAACATGTTTATTTGCTTACTTACCTTGTATACTGTATATGCATTACAATAGATGCAACACATTTTTCTAAGCGAATTTAGAGCTACTATCAAGTATGTTGTAGTCACACACAAGATTTGCAACTTTCTATGCATTGGTTTTGGGCAGAGTTTGCACCTCTTCTGTTTGTTTGGGCCTTCAGCTGTCTTTTCCTCTCTGTACTTATCTACTGTGTCTAAAATTGCATACTGTCTGAGGAGATACTACATTTGACAAGGAATTTATTGACCATTAAAAAGTATGCATATGTGTAGTATGAAAGCAATCTGGACATACTATAGCCATACATGATGGCGCTGTCATGTGTTTTACGGCATCAGTTGGGATTCTTCCCTGTCATTCATGACTCTTCTCTGTGGGCTTTATATAGTAAAGCATCCATTGAACCTCTGCTGGAATGTTCGTGGAAGTAGTAGGTCATCCAGCTACTTTTCACCTACTGTTTTATGAATACTGCAAATTTGGACAAACTACAAATTTAATGTACTGATTTTGGCCTTTGTTTCTCAACTCTGTCCCTTGGGGTCCACTGTCTGGCAGAGTTTAGCTCCAATCCTAATCAAACACACCTGAACAAGTGAATCAAGGTCTTCAGGATTACTAGAAGATGACAGGCAGGTGAGTTTGATCAGGGTTGGAGCTACTCTGCAGGAGAGTGGACCTCGCAGGCCAGAGCTGAAAAACCCTGGCGTATTATAAAATATTTGTTCAAAGGACTAATGTCCGAGACAAATTCTTGATTTAGGGCAAAAGTAGCATTTAGCATCTCACACCATGAGCAGTGTTTACGACATCTCACACCAAGACACCACTAAACAGCTCAACTACAAATTCATCTCCAGACACCTGCATTCGACTCTATTCTGTTGCACTAGATCGAGTTGTTTTTAAACGCATTCAAAATTAACAACCCTAATTCATGTGTTAAAGTAAACAAACAAATAGCCATATACTGAGTGGAGTAAACGGGACTATGGCAAAGTGTGTGTGTGTTTATATGTGAGCAACTGTGAGTAGCATTTTCATTCCCATATGCAGATTTGACCCAACATCTGCCCCCAGGTTCATTCAATGACCGTGCACACACACAATTCTATAAAAGAGCCAGTGTTTCTAGAGGAGGTTCATGGGAGCAGCTTGTTGGATCTCTCACTGACATCCATGATAAAGCAAGAACAAAGGTTGCAGCTGGAATCAGTTGAGTGGAGCAGCCAGGCAGATGCTCTCACTGCAAAAAGCATTAACAATGTCCGACTGAATTCTAGAGGGATTTTTTTTTGAAAACATATTGGCGTACATGTAAGTAACTGAAAAACCATCCACTATAAAATCCCTGAAAGCAACCGCCAACCTCTAGATTTTTGGCAAGGTTCAAGCTTAAAAAGTTGGTATAAGGTAATTAGAGGATTATAGTTTGACAACAAAACACTCAAAATCACTCATCAACTGCCAAAATATCAATCCATGAACAAACCTTAAATATTTTCATAAAGCTGCTACATATCCATATATTCATTTACCAAAGCACTAGATTAAAACAAACATCAACATGTTCTTTCAGAGACACAAAAGTATATGTCTCAGTTCTTAAGTCATAAAAGCAAAAGACATACAGCACTGTCAAGAAACAATCCTTATATTGTTTTATTAAAAAATATATACTTTTATTAAAGTAGCTGGGGGGGGGTGCAGTGAATATGGCATATAGGAATAAAGTCATGATTAACAGTCAGTCAGCATTTGCATTGCATCAGTAGAGGTGAAATTGTTGGTCTAGTGCTGGGTGGTGTTGCCTGCTGATTGAAGATCTCTGGCTAGTGACTGAAAACCTTCCTGCTCACTAAAAACAGTATGATAAGGTATAAACTTTAAAAGACAATGGTGTAGGAGTAATTGCATATAGTATTATTTTTTATGGATATGGATGTGGATATGAAATAATTTTTGTTCACCAATTACTACTGATTACATCAAGGCCTTTTAGCTAACAGCTTGCTGGGCCAAATGCAGCCTGTTAATCATTTTTTAAATGGTCCTCTGACTGATTTAGCTGAAATTGCTTTATTGTCTAATAGAGCAGATTTAAAAAAAAAAACAAAAAAAAAAACAATGTAAATAAATTGTTACAGAATATGCCAATAATATTGTATTTATTACCCTTATCAATTGGTAATTTTAACAATCTTGATCTATTTAATCTAACTAATTTATTTAGAGTTTCAAGTGATACTAAATGTTTATTTTGTACATTAAAACAAAAAAGCAACACATCTGTAATTGCACACCAAAACCTCTACTTACCCACTACCATGATGTTAAACTCGAAGCCTTGTTTCATGGCTTTCCTCCTCATCTGTTCCAAGATGGCATCAATGCCCACATAGCCAAACTCACTGTTTGTCTTCTCATTCCGTGCCACAGGTGTCTTTCCTACATCTGCCATATTGCCGTAAAAACTTGTAATGACCTCTGGCCCTAAAGAAATTATGTGATACAAAAAGAGAGAGACAGCCCATTAGCATTTTTATTGTATATGACAATAATTGGCTTAAACATTTTTGCACATGCAATTTTCAATTACATGATCAGTGTCATAGCTTTATTGGTCAACTAACCCAAACGGCAATTTTCAGTTTGTGTAAAAATCACATGATGCACATTTTGCTGTCCTGCAGTAAATTTTTACTTCATGTTTTGAATGTAATGGTATCTAAACTCAAAAGTCTGATTACTGTTTGCAAGATATGCTAATTATTTACGAGTCAGACAATATAGTATTGGTATGTTAGAGAGACCAGATGTCAGAACACATGGATACGAAGTAGGGCAGAAAACCCACAACAGTTATTATCTCAGATTACCAAGACACATGTAAGCATATAAGCAACATCAACATTTATTTTCTAAATTTTCTAAATCACCATTATATCATGTTTCACAAAACCAATTTTAACAAGCTCTTAATTCCTTAAACCTCCTCAAATTCTCCTCAACTGATCAATTGATCACTGTATTTATCAAAAGATACTAAAAATGCCAAAACATAAATCAAATGTTAACCACAAGCTTACCCAAAAGAGGGTATTCAGTCTGCAAAGTGTTGAATTTGATGATTCAGTAGCTTGAAAAATGTGTGACAGAAAGCAAGTGACATACAACTCAATGTGAAAGTGGGAGGGGACAAGGTTGCTGCTTTTCCTTTTTTTAACGACAACATGTGGCTTCCTCTTTTCATAGAACGTCTAGACACTTGCAAAAACTTCAAACAAAAAGATATACCTAAATATTCCAGTGTTGTTTTCATAAATAAATAAATAGCATGTAATTCAATATAATAAATAGCATACTATATCCAGATGATAACACAAGGTGAATATACTTAACAGCAAAAAAACATAGGCATGTACAAACACAACTTATGAGTTATGAAATACACTATTGCTTCATCAGTTGCAGTTCAGAGGTGGAAAATCTGTGACTTAACCAAAACAGTCTATGCTGCATGTAACACATCTGTACATAGCATTATTAAGTATAAAGAGAAGCGTTCAATAAAAGACAAAACTGAGAGTGTAGCCAAATTTGAAGAACAATCTTATGTTAATATGTTTTAAATATTCTTTTTTATTTCACTCCTATGTTTTCAGGTACATTTTCATGTCTAAGAAGTCAAGTTAAAATTATCAGTCAGTCAAATCCAAAACTGTTTTGCATATGTTCATCTGTTGCTGATGTACAGTATCACAGATTTAAGAAAACCTTTTCTTGTCAGTGAGTTACACACACCATTTGACAGCCTTTTCTGAGAAAACAGAGTCTAAAAACACTTCAGTCCAAAACACTAGACAGTTACAGAAACTACCAGCAGCTATGTTTTGGCTAGCGAATGTAACATATGCCATTTAATACCATGAGTTTCAGTCTCTGTGTTTTAATTATTATTTAAATTAGAAACACCATTACATACAGTCACTATGTCTCTTACACTATATACTGTAACCACATTTTTCACTTGTCACCTGAATAATCATGCTTTAAAACCCCTCACTGTAAATGTGCGATTTCATATCTAGAACAGATTGGGCCACCTGTTCAGAAAAAGCATCTTAAGTTCCAATTTAAACTTGCACATTACCACGCACACACACTAAACAGCTCCCAAGGTAGCTGTGAAGCTTGAATAACAGGGCCGATTTTACTCATTAAAAATGAATGCAACTAGGAGGCTATAAAACATACTTGCATAACAAGCGGCAAAAAAAAGAAATAGGCAAACCACACCCCTCATGCTCCGCCTTTAGCATCAGGCACCGCCTTCACCTCAGACTCTGGCTCCAAACACTCAATGATTAATGCAGTATTTCAGTTTGTGTGTGGAGTTTTGGCAAAAACTTCTTAAAGCCAATTAAAATAAAATGATAGGTCTAGGTAAACCTAACCCATCACCGCTGAAGCCTAGAACTTTCCATTTGCCTCAGAGAAGCCTCATGGTTTACTGTGACCTATATTTTTCATATGTTAACCCAACAGTCAATCACATGTGAAATCCACACTTCAACCTTGAATGAACCACAGTTTCTTGATACCAAAGTGGAATGTTATGCCTGTAAGTTTAGCCAATTTGGAGCCATGAAGACTGAGGATCTATACCAAATCTTGAATTACAATATTAAGTGTGAAGACATTGTGTTTATTGTGCACATACTGTATGTGTATTGATACATGCATACAGAAAAGATAAGGAAAATCTACCATGTAAACAGCATGTTCAGAGTATGCCAAATAATCATTATCTAAGCCAGGACAAGACTTGATTTTTGCTGGCCTGGTGGGTGGAACGGATCACAACATGTGGGCATGTTAATTATGGTTTAATACACAGACACCAATGAGCATTTGTGCCATTGATTACATGACCACCCCACTGCCCCTTCTGCCAACACCTGTTGTGGGCCATCTGCTAAGAAACAAAATGAGGCATGAATAGGAAAGGGGGGCAGTGACATGGGCACACAACCTATTCTTTTAAATACAGTATATAGGCCTATATTTTTTTTTTCTCAATTAGTTCCCCTTTTGGTTATGCTTGTGCTAAATTTTATATCATAGTCCAAACCGATGGATTATCCAGAGCAGTGATTCTCAAACTGTCTAATCACATTTCAGCGTTTATTCAATAAACGACTGTTAGCAACATACACACAATAACATATTTTGATTAAAGTCAACATTCTTGACACTTGAGAAATTAACCTCCTCCCTTAGGAATAAAATGCCCACTTTTGAAAAAATATGGAGCCCCCTGCTAAAGTTCCTGGACAGTTGAATCTGGTATAATATGAAAACTGCATATAACCAATTATATGGAAAAGTAGGTGTCTTGACATGCACTTTAGGTTCTGATTAATGTACATTACAATCATGTGGTCCACATGTACACGTTTGTCAGCCTTTCCTTTATGTTCTGTATACCATACGTAAATGTGTAGCAGTGTGAAAGATTCATGTAAAGATTGTCATATGTTCTGTGTTTGTATCTTGTGTATTGTATCTCTGTCAAGTTGCAACATATATATATATATATATATATAAACATTCTTGTAGTTCAGATGAATGACACTGTTGTAAAAGCCTGATAAGTCCTGATTTACCCTTTGCATATCTTTATGAAAGAGCCCTTTCAGCATCTAAAAACACACAAACCATATAAGACATCATAATTTAGAATAAACAAACATCTAGAAAAAACTACAGTAAGCATTATTATGCAAGTTAAAGATTTTATCCTAAAACTTAAATCTCAGCAAATAAAGCCTCACTAAGCACGAAATATTAGGCCTATATGTGAATTGTAAGTCCACAAAAGATCAGTGAATTATTATGCATTAAAACAATGAAATAGGATTCTTAATATGGAAGATAATTTTGTAGATGATATAAAAACTTTCTCTTTTCCTAGCTTAATATGCAGAGAAATTGTATAAGCCTTTCGTAAGTTAGTTACAATCAACCAAATTACACAATGCAACTTTAACAAAGGAATCTGGAAAAGAATAAATTGGAAATCGATTTACCAACTAACAAAAAACATAGATCATAAAGTCTTATGGACCTGAATAAACACATGTTTATGGGTTAGATGTGGTACAGCAAAAATTAGATATGCAAAATAAGCTTTGTTTCATATAGACAAAAAAACAAAAAAAACTACAACATAACATTTAAAGCCAGAAGTCATGTGGTGATGACTAGGATTTCCTAAGGGGACCAGACCCTGCTTATGCCACATGCAACATAAGAGCTCTATGCATGATCAGCCCACTGTGTGCACTCTAATACACACGACCAGTTTGAAATATTAAAGCAAATCAATTCTAAAAAGATGTAGCTTCAGTGGCAGTTATCCTGTCTCTCATGCAAAGTCTGTGGCCTATATTTTTCACTAGCATGTGTCAGTGTTCTAACAAACAGGAAATAGGGGTTACCGCTGAAGTGTGTCCCTGCACACACATGCAGGCAAATTCACATGCACATTCAGCTATTGTAAATGTCACATTTATGTTACTATAATTTCTTGTCTTGGAGTTTATGCAATTTTTATATTTCATATATTTATTTTAAAACATAACATTACATGTTATATTCATAACATTAAATTACTACATTGCATTACATTCATTCAAATTAATTATACACTTTTTTGTCAAAAAAGAGGCATCATAAGTGCAAAGAAAATAAGTCAGGAAGAACTAAGGATGAATTATTCTGTTCAAATATATCTCAGTCCATTCTGAATAGAATGCCTGAACAGTTGACCATGCTTATAATTTTGCAGTTTGCAGTCAAGGACTACGATATGTATTTCATCACGTACATCTAGAAGTATGACCGGGTTTGTCCTCTCTGAAAATTACAACATTTAGAACCACAGAACCCCCAACTATAGGCCAGTATTCCACAGGTCTCATTTTTCCAATGAGTTCTCCAAGACATCAAGAACGCTTTGACTTGGTTGATTTCCTGTTTTCACTTTAAGAACTCAAGAGGTTGTGTGTCCCCCTTCTGAAGCTGATCCAACCCTGTACAGAAACCATATATCCACAGAAAAGCAAGGCAAACAGTGAAACAAGGCCATCTAACAATTCATTCCTTACAGGCAACATACAATTTAATTCTGTCTTCATTCTGAGCCAGAACAGTTGGGAATTTGCCCATGTTTAGTGGTCTGTGGTATATTGGCCCCTGTAACTGGACTTTGGTCTGGCAACAGACATTCAAAGTCAGTAGTAGGCCAAATGAAAAACGTTTGTACAACTAACAATTAATGTCAACAGCCAATGAAGCCTAGTAGACCTGACAGTTGCCCTAAATGTGTAGCTAAACGTGTCCTGGTTACACTAGGCTAGGAATGTAAATGCTGCTAAAGCTGTTCTTACAGAAAAGAGTGTAAATGACAAAATGAAGAAATAACAGTG